CATCTGTCTAGCAATTTGCATGTGCTGAGATTTCTTATTTCTATAATTCTGAGTACCGCAGTGAGACTTGTGTGCATCTTTTGAGCAGTTAAGAGGTAAAGCTGCAGAGTAGTTGAGTGTGATTAATCTTCCTGTTGCTTGAATACTTGCGTCTTTTGGTAGAAAATTGAGATGCTCATTGTTAATAAATTGAGGATAATACTGAGGATGTAGGCTTTGGCTGAGGAGGGTGACAAGTGAGCTTTTCAGAGTGCTGTTACTCTCACCCATCCCACGTGAAACTGTTGGTGTGCTGGTCACACGTTAACGCTCTTGTCATTCTGTATTTTCACAGCCCAATTATGGAAGCTTTTGGCAATGCGAAGACTGTTTACAACAACAACTCAAGTCGCTTCGGGAAGTTTATTCAGCTGAACATCTGTCAGAAAGGAAACATTCAGGGAGGAAGAATTATAGATTGTATCCTCGTTTGGTGATTTTTGCGGGCAGCCCCACGTACCTCCTCTGTGGAGGGCTAAGAGGGAAGTGGCTCGCCCTTCTCTGTCCTTTCACCCCATCCTGAAACACACACAATTAAACTGAGCTGATGCAGGTGTGAAAGGGAAGCAGCAACACCAAATTCTGTGTGCACACATGCATTTGTGAGGGGGTGGGATATACATACGCTTGGAGGACCAGGATTTTGCATTGCAACTGCTAGCATGGCTCACACGCGTGTTCCTACACAGTGCGCTAAAACAGCCTGAGTTCGTGGGGATAACTTAAGTTGTCAGCTATTTCCCTCATTTGTTATAGCTAAGGATAAGCTTCTTAGTTTCTGGAAAGAAAACTTTCTTCTTGAAAGGGCAGAGCTCCTGAACTGCTGCAGTGTGAGCATGGGTGGGTCAAATCCTTGGATTTGTCCTGCATTTGCCAAAACTGGACTATGAGCCACCTCCCCCAGAGCACCAGAGGTGTGGGGATGAGCAATATACCGACGTGATCCCCTAGGAATTGGAACATAAGCTGCTTTTGCAGTGGGACAATTTTCATCCTTAAAGCTGTTCCCAAGCTTTAAGGAAAAGTAAAGGAAAGCAGATGCCTATTAAAGTCCAGAACATGACAAGTCCAGTTTTGATGAAATGGAGGAGAAGGAGGTGTGGGAAGACACTGGTATTAGAACTGCAGCAATATTATTGTTGCTGCCAGTTTATTCATCTTGTTAGGGCAGTAGGCATGTTGTAAGAAAAGACCATGATGCTCCCCCAGTAGTCTCAAATTAAAGAATTAAGGAAGGTTATAAATAGCTTGTGCGTTGATTGCTTTTTATTTTATTCCTTGACTGAAGCTTTTCTTCCTGGCTATAGATTTATTGGAAAAAGTAAGTTCCTTGGGTTTTTTTCTCACTTCGTTCTGTTTGATTTGGTATTTTCTTTGAAATTGTGGATAAAAAAATTCTCCTTAAAAATGATGGCTTAAATGGAAACTATTTTTTACTTTGACAGAATCGTGTAGTAAGACAAAACCCTGGGGAAAGAAATTATCATATATTCTATGCTCTGCTGGCAGGGATAGAAGAGAGAGAGAAAGGTAAGTGGCAACGCGCAAGTCACACAACTGTAGTGGCTCTCTGCTAGCAGTCAGCCGTGGCGACAGCAGTGGGGAATTTAACTGCAGACCCCCTAACCCAAGCAGAGAAATAGCTGGTTTATTCAGTCAGGATTCAATGAGTGTGAATTTGAGCTCAGCTTGATAAAGCAACCTGCTTAGTTGAAGAATGTCACCGAGCTGCCGGTAATTTTTCTCCCAGACTCTGCTGTGGCCCAGGGAAAATTACTTGGGGACAAACATGCCTCATTCTGTTCAAGCTGAATATTTTTGCTGGTACTAAATAACTCCACAGCAACAAAGAGAAATAATTCTGGTTCCTCTAATCCTGTCTCATAAGGAATAAATCCACTGAACAAAAGAAATGACATTTGTATATGTGCGAAATTGCCTAAAGCTGTCTCAGCATCTCCCTTTGGACCTGCTGTCTTTGCATGCTAAAAAGCAGAGCTAACTTCATTGTGCAACTAAATAAAGGGAAAAAAAAAACAGCCAAATAACTTACCATAGCTGATTTTAATATAAACCTTCATGTTGTGCATCATCATAATTTCTGAGCAAACGAATTGTGAACTATTTAGCTTTGACATAGTCATTTGTGGAGTATTTTTGTTTTGGGACTTTTTTTCACTTGTTCTGTTTTCTCTCCTCACTAGATGCTTTTTACTTATCTGTACCAGAGAACTACCACTACCTGAATCAGTCTGGATGTATAGCGGATAAGACAATCAGTGACAAAGATTCTTTCAAGGAAGTAATTGTGAGTTGTTTCCCTGAATCTTTATGCTTTAGAAATGCTGGCGGTGCAGGTGCCTGGGGACCATTTACAGATCAGGGGACAAAGCCTTCTTGTGCTTACCTGTGCTCTCTGCCATCCTGGCTCTGTGTGCAGCTCTCTGAGGAGCTAAGCTTACAGGGGCTTATATTTTCTTGTAACACTTCACTTTCCTTTTGAGTGTGTGTTTACCTTTCTTACCAATACTTCATTTTTGTTCTATTATTTCAAAGTGTGCTATAATTTAGTGAAATGATTAAGTTTTGAAATAAAAATAGTATCAGTTAAGAAGCCAGTAAGTCATTTAGATGCCTTTGCCCTTCCCTACATTGTTCTGTATTACAGTTAAGTCTGCTTCCACTGTTCTTCCATCCTAAAGGGATGCCGTCTAGAGGGACCTTGACAGGCTGGAGAGGTGGGCCATTGCCAACCTCATGGAGTTCAACAAGGCCAAGTGCAGGGTCCTGCACCTGGGTTGGGGCAATCCCAAACACAAGTACAGGCTGGGTGGAGAGTGGATAGAGAGCAGCCCTGAGGAGAAGGACTTGGGGGGACTTGAGAGATGATCAGAGGGCTGGAGCACCTCTGCTATGGGGACAGGCTGAGAGAGTTGGGCTTGTTCAGCCTGGAGAAGAGAAGGCTCCGGGGAGACCTTATTGCAGCCTTCCAGTACCTGAAGGGGCTACAAGGAAGCTGGGGGGGACTTTTTACAAGGGCCTGTAGTGACAGGACAAGGGGTAACGGGTTTAAATTGAAAGTGGAGAGGTGTAGATCAGATATCAGGAAGAAGGTCTTCATGGAGAGGGTGGTGAGGCACTGGACCAGGTTGCCCAGGGAAACTGTGGATGCCCCCTCCCTGGAAGTGTTCAAGGCCAGGCGGGATGAGGCTTTGAGCAACCTGGTCTAGTGGAAGGTGTCCCTGCCCATGGCAGGGGGGTTGGAACTAGATGGTCTTTAAGCTCCCTTCCAACCCAAACCAGTCTATGATTCTATGATTCTAAAGCTTTGCCCAGATCATGTAGCATCATCTGGGTCTAGTTCCTCAGTGCAGCACGTGGGGAGCAAAGCACCTGGGCACCTGTGACGCTTCACCTTGCAGCTGGGAAATCCAGTCGTATGGAGTAACTTACACAATAGAGTTAAAGAAAATGTAGACAGAGATTAAAAACAAGGTCCTGATGAAGTCGTTCTCTGAATGGCTTTATTTCTTACACCCGCACCAATTAGCTATAGCAATTAGGCTATACTTTCTGTTAGGAAAATTGCTAATTTCTTACTATATTACTAAGGTGATATGTGTGAGATTTTAAAAATCAGTAAAAGTGATGGGGTTTATGCCCTTCACCAAACTATTTTTGCTTAACTATGTTCATCTCTTTGCCAAATTGACAGACTAATGCGTGGTGGACACAGCAGTTATTTTTAGTGTGAAACATCCTCATCTACTGTAGTGGGGGCGGAGGGGTGTTAGAAAAGTTGGTGACTTATCTACATTAAAGACATAGAGCCTAAGTGGATTAGCATGATTTTTAATTTGTGCTAATTACCCCAGGGTAGGCAGAGCATGAAATCAGCTGGGCAGGTGATGCTTGTGTGCTGCCCACAGTGTGGGCCAGCTTGGAGCAGAGGCTGAGGCTGCCAGGCTGTGTTCCCAGAGCAGGAGGTGGGCAGAAACCCCTCAGTTCACCCTCGCCCGTCTTTTCCTATTATCATCATCCCCTTTGCCTGTTTTTATTGTGGTTTAAGTCCCAGAAGTGTTACTTAAGTGAAACTTTTGTGGGAGACAGGAAGGAACTGCACAGTGAGCCTGGAGATGAACGCACAGTGCTGCTGCCTTTCTTAGAGCTCTGTTGTGAAAGGTCTTCTGTGCAAAATGCACCTTCAACCTCTCATCTACTTCTAAATTGTGGGATGGGTCTGAGGCTTTTCCATTTGTAATGGATGATTTATGAAGGATAAAATGTCATGTGTCATCTGTCTGACGCCTGCAGTGACCATAATGTGATGTGTCTAACTGTAAGGGTGTAAAACGGTGATCTGGTCTTAGACAGGCTCATATTAGACCCAGACTGGGGAAATTTTGGTGATTTCCAGAGGCATATAATTACTTACCTTTTCTATGCCAAAGGTGTGTGTTCTTCTTCTTGTTTTAAGGTTTAATTAGACAGAGATTTGCCGTTCTCCTTGTTACACAGTTGAGCCTTGATCATTGCCATAGTCATTAATTAAAAACTCCTTATGCATAGACTCATTTTCTTGCTCAGTTTTGCTGTAAGATGTCAGTCCGCACTGGTAAGATGTGTGTTTGGGCATCACGGCTTGCCCAGATTGTGGCACAGAAGCCTCCTCTCAATTCTCCGTGGCTGAGATAACAAATGAGCAAATCTTACATGTTGCTGTGTTTCCTCCGCCATGAATTTTTACCTACATGGTTAATTGGCAAAATTTGTTAAAAACACAGAAGATATTACCAATTACTCATGCAGATTACTGAAATTACGTCTGATGCACAACTCAGTAGGGCGTTTCAGTGTTTATACAGAAGAATGTGAAAGCAAATTACAGGATCTTTACATCATCAAAAGGAAAATTCCTTAAAAACAGAGTGATACTTGCATGTTCCAATTTGGCCCTGCGATGTCTTATGGTGTATTTGATTTGGGGTGAAACTAGAGGAATTAATTCCTGCCAGCCCTCTCTCGGCCCTTACTTGCCTTCCTAAGGCCTGGCAGCACAGTTGGTGGGTTTGTCCTGGTCCCCATTTTTGAGTCAGTGTGCCTGTGATTGAAGAAGCTCATGTGTCGTTCCAGACTGCGATGGAAGTGATGCAGTTCAGCAAGGAGGAGGTGCGAGAAGTTCTGAGGCTGTTGGCTGGCATTTTGCATCTGGGAAACGTTGAGTTCATCACTGCGGGGGGGGCACAGGTGTCCTTTAAAACAGGTGAGAAGGCTGTGCTTCCTTGTAGCATGTGAATGTTTCTTGAGGCTGTGAAAGTTATATTCCTTGCTAGTGCATCTGACCAGAGCAAGGACACACAGTGAAAGGGTCTTACTGCTTTTTAGCGTCTGTAAACATTGATTAAATTGTTATTTTGGGTGTTTGGGTTTTTTTTTAACAGAAAAGGCAGATTAGTTTGCTGCTGGATGCTAGGTCTGAATTAGGGAAGACCTTGGGCACATATTTATTCCATTAATAGTAGTGAAATTCCATTTTAATCTGATTCCTTCTTTGAAATATTCTCAGGCTGGTAAAACATAAGTGCTCACCTATGTTCCTTAACTGAGATCTCCACTGAAGGTATCTCTTGTTAGAGCTTTCAACACCTCAATTACAAATCTGAAAAGATGTGCTGGTATGTCTAAAGGTTGAGCTGGCGAGTGTTTGAAATGCCTGTTCAAATACGGCAGTGAAGACGAGTATCACATACTGCTTTATATGCCACATAACAGCAGAATTGCAAATAAAATCACTTGGGTAAGAGAAAAAATTTCCTTGGTTTTCTTTAATCCTCATCATCCCGAGGGAAGCTGAAACGCGCATTCATGTGGACAAAGAGGGAATTCCTGTTTGTATCTGTAAAAGTATATTAGTGTAAGCAGTAGATTGCTTGAATCCTAGACATGTAACATTAAGAGGAAAATAAATATTTGTGACTCACTTATGGTGAGTTTCTACTGCTGAATTCCTTCAGTTGCGCACATTTATGATACCATGCCTTTTCATAAGCAGCAAAAACATCCTACAGTTTCTAGTTGTTTTTTTATCACCGATCCCCATCATTTTACAAGCATTTTAAATGATGGTAATAATTAGTTTCATAGCCTTGTACATTTAAGGATATATTTGTCTCTTTCTTTTGTCAGCTCTGGGTAGATCTGCTGAACTACTGGGGCTGGACTCCACACAGCTAACTGAAGCGTTGACACAGAGGTCAATGATACTCAGGGGAGAAGAAATCCTAACACCTCTTAGTATACAACAGGTAAAGGCATCTCAGTTTTGACATGTTTTTAGGGTCTATTAAATTTATGGCTCAGACTTTGAGCCCAGTGAAATCATTGGTTGCTCAGGAATAGAACTTTAGGTCGAGTATCTGAGTTGCTATCGAAAATACTACGTAGTTTTTTGGGAAGGGTATAATTGGACCTGTAGTAATTTCTGTATATCCTATCCTATCATTCTGGCCAGTGTTTGTAATCTGGCTCTTGTTATTCTTACTAAGCCTTATTGCTTAGCATTTTTCTCCAAATTCTGATCATGTGTGCTGATGTTTTTCATTATGGACATTTGTGTCAGGTGGGCATTTTTGAAAACTTTCAGCAAAAATAGTTTTATTATTTACAAGAAGGGGATTAGACAAAGTGATACATAACATTGTGGCTATCTCTAGATAGGGGTAAAGATGTTTCTTACCCTTCTCTTTTCTTCCTCCACAGCTTAAGTTTATAGTTACCTAACTTTTGAGCGCTTTAGTTTTGAAATGTAATGTTAAAACCACATAGGTGTACAGCTGTTAAAACTTAGGCTGTTAGAGGTTGAATCAGGGCTCTCTGTAACTGTTACTGCAGTTGCTGTCAAGGTACGTGGGAATGTAGGCCTGCTTGTTTTAAGCTTGCTGCACGCTGTGCAGGGGAGGCTGACCAGCAGAGTTAACAAGGGTGACTGATACGTTGTGTGTTCCTTCTTTAACGCAGGCAATAGACAGCAGAGATTCTATGGCTATGGCACTTTATTCTCAGTGTTTTGCTTGGGTCATTAAGAAAATCAACAGCAGAATCAGAAGCAAGGAAGACTTCAAGTCCATTGGCATTTTGGACATATTTGGATTTGAAAACTTTGAGGTAGGCCTCAAAGCTTGTTCAGATGGATTGCCTGGTATTTATGCTTTGTCGTTTTACATACCTTTGTCATCTTCACTGGAACTTGATTATTAAACATGTTATGGCTTAAACCAGTTCCTTGTTTGCAAAGTAAAATACTTGGAGTGCATGCATTTTTGGAGATTTCTTGTCTCTTTAGGTAAACCGCTTTGAGCAGTTCAATATTAACTATGCAAATGAAAAGCTTCAGGAGTATTTCAACAAGCACATCTTTTCCTTGGAACAACTGGAATACAGCAGGTACGAGATACAGATGAAATTTGAAAGTTTTGAAAACATGTGTTCACTTGAAATCTGGGTTCCCAGCTACCTTTGCTTCCTTTGAAAAACTCGTAGTCTGGGGAAGTGCGTTTTTAAAAGCGAACCGATTTTGCTGTATTTTGCAAGACAAATACATCAACTCCTCCCATTTCTATACTTAAAATCTTTTCTTTGTAGCTGGCATTAAAATGGCCCTCATTATTTTCCTTAGGGAAGGACTAGTTTGGGAGGATATTGACTGGACGGACAATGGAGAGTGCTTGGATCTTATTGAAAAGGTAATAAAGAATGTGATACCAGTACCTACTTCTAGTCTTTGTTCTGAGGTAATACATTTTTAAAACACTTGCCAGCAACAGAGAACAAGTGAAGAGAATGGTGGCTCTGGCATGTTTAAATAGTGATTTTTCAATCAAATTATTTTTGTGCATGGACATATTCTACATTACTTTGTAAGCTCAGTATACGCATCTTTCCTTGTAGTCACTTTTAATGGTGTATGATTATATACAAAAGCAATATTTGGAGATGATTAAAAAGAACAGAAAGAGGGGGCACAAAGAATGACAGTGTCTTGCTCCCATGGTGGCTTTTCCTGGGATGTGAGTAATCTTCATTTCTTGCCTGCCAGTTTTTGCTTCATCTGTAATTTTGTGTGTGCTCTGATTACTACTAAGGAAAGATATGAAAGAGGATGAAGTTTCTGCAGAGTTTTTGGTAGAAATGTTAGCAGTGACAGGCAGACGAGGTCTGATTTCAGCCCCTAGAAATGTTAACTCGGGTTGGATGACAGGGACAAAGTTATATATAGTTTCGCCCGTGTTCACCCCTGACAGCAGTACGAGTGGGCTGCGTGACTGTATCTCCGTAGCAGGGCGTGCGGCTGCCTGCGTTCCAGCGACCACCGACGTGGCAGCAGGCAGGGAATCTGACTGCCAGGCTGTGACAGCAGTCAGGGCAGTGTGGCTTGTCAGGAGCTGCTCTGGGACGATGGCAAGTGGTTTATTACAATGTGCACCTGGAGAACTGTGTTTTTTTGGAGAGGCTGTATCCACCTGAATCATGCTGGACGCATCCTCTAGCTGCAGGGTAGCGTGCTTTGTTTACAGCCCCTGCTCGTATGAGAAGTAGGAAATGTCAAAGGGAGTTGCACGGAGGCATATGCAAAGCAAAGGGAGGTTGTGTTTCCCGCAGTGCGTGGTTAGACTGTGTGTCTTTTGCTGTGCCCCTGGGAACTCTGGCTGCTAAAAGTTTGCATTGGTTCAACAAGTAGATAATTTTATGGAGGAAAAATTTTTGAAAGGCTGTTTACACAAACTCCTCAGACTTAAGAGACTCCTAATCATTGGACAATTTGGGGGCTGGGGATAAATTCTGGGGCAATCTCATTGTATGCACCTAAAAAACCCTTTATCAGGAGAACTGTTGCTTCTCCCAGTACCTTCTTTTTCTTTATTTTGCCTGTATATCAAATGCTATTGGTTTCAAAAGGAGTGTTGCCAGAAAAATACGACTGCAGTTCTCCATTGGAGTGGGTTTTTAGTCGCGTACGGGTGTTTTTAAGCCTCTCTGCACACAATAACAAGAACTTTGTGGTTTTTCCATACTGGGGTTAAGGTCTTCGTCCATCTGTGCATTAACTCATCTTCTGCCCATCCTTGCTCTTGTAGAAACTGGGCCTGCTGGCGCTCATCAATGAAGAGAGCCATTTTCCTCAAGCTACTGACTCCACCTTGCTGGAGAAGTTGAATACCCAGCATGCCGTACGTGATGTTTTGCTCATGTTATTCTGTGCACGTTATGGAGGGTCTCTTTGCTTCTGTAGAAATTCATGGTTCAAGTATATAAGCGCATAGTTGTAGAGGCTGTTTTGGATGTGATCCTACTTCTATGCCAATCCATATCGTTTGCTGTCAAGACTGTCGGTCACCTGGAAGAACATATCTATGTTACTGTCCAGTTAAAAATTTCCATATTGGTCCTTAAGCCAAATTCTGCAATTAGTTAGAGCTCTGACAACCTCTAGTAACTCAGATTACCTACATCTTCAGTTTTCCTTGATTTAACATTCACCTTGATGTCAAAAAAATTTACCAGAAAGTTGCTGTTTCCTTTGCTCAGATTAGTGTTACCGTTATTTGTGACCCTAGCATTATTTTGAGAATTTCTTGGATACAAGCATATGTCAACCAATCTTCATAACTGCCAGTTTAAGACAGAGCCTTCTTTTTCAAAACGCTTTTAATAGCTGTTTCTGCCAGATGGGTTCAGGTTTAGTATAATGCCTTTTTAGATACTATAAATCTCTTATTACTGCATTTGAAACAGCCCAGACTAACAAATCCTATTATCATTTTAAGTTGGTTGTTTGCTTTCGAAGCACTAATCTTCTATGGAGTTCACTGGAAAACAGTGGTTTGTGAACCTTTGTATCATTGCACTCCCTGACTGCCCCCCCGCCAATATTTCTCTCTTTCTTTCCCCTCCAACCAGTGCAATCCCTTTTATGTAAAACCAAGAGTTGCTGTTCACAACTTTGGAGTGAAGCACTACGCTGGGGAGGTAATTTTCTTTATTTGCTGAAATTATTCCAAACAGAGTTCTCATTAGCTTAATTTCACCCTGACGCTGCTCAAAATTAACTAAAGCACTCTGTGCTGTCAGTGGTTTTTACAGCACTGCTGCTGTAAGAGGTGCCTGCTTGCCTTCTTGTTTGAATCAGCTCTGCTTCTTCCTAGGTTCAGTATGATGTCAGGGGGATCTTGGAGAAGAACAGAGACACCTTCAGAGACGATCTCCTGAACTTGTTACGAGAAAGCAGGTACGTTTCTGCGCTGTTTGTGTAGGGTATGATGTTAAGGGGTGTTGTATCACCTAATTCTGCCAGGGTGTGAATATGTCAGGTGTTCCATAGCGTCAGACCTTGACAGAGTTGAAAGGAGCATAGAAGAAATACCAGAGGTGCCTGTAAGCAGATCTGACTGCAGTTGGTTCTCACTCAGGGGTTTTCCCATGTTATACAGTCCTTCATCCCTGTTCAGTCCGGGGGATTGCGAGAAAGCTCACTTGCTACTCGGTGGTGAGTAAGGATGCTGAAAGCTGGTTATGTTTTTTAACTGTTTTAGGGAGCTTCATAGGCAGTGTGCATGTGGGGGTGGGGGGAGGGATTTCTTCATCTAGAGCCTGATTTGCTCATATTTCTGGCATTCCCTAATTTGGGTGAAAGCTTAGTGTCAGGGACCTACCACAGTGCAAATTGCCATATAGTAATTGCTTAAGAGGGAGAATTTCTGTAAGGGTTTATGTTTTTGAAAGTCTGAGCTTGTATGTCATTGGTACCTGTATGCCTCCTGCCATTCTGTTGTGTTAAGGTCTCAGGATCCTTACAGTGAGCCTGTGAGCTGGGATGGTACCATGTCCGTTTCTGTAGGCGTATGGCTGTTCTCCAGGTCACAGAGGGGTGATGGAAGGGGAGAGAGCAGAGCCTGGGTGTTGCTGTCCTGGCTGCTGCCCTCACCCGTCCTGTCCAGTCATCCTGCCTTTCTGTGGGAGCTGCTGCTTTGTAAATCTCTTAAGCCCTTCTGTGCAGGGGAGACTGTTAATGTGTTTCCCGCTCTGTGTGGTTTGTTCTGGTTTCATGAAGTATCTGATGTAACATCTGTCATTTGAAGTATGGAGGTAAAAACAATGAGTTAAAGCTGCTGGCCTGTTTCTGCCCTTGCACCAATGTGTGTCAGGAGTGACTCCATTTAAGTTAAAAGGTCTGCATTTCTGTAAAGTGGTAAGAGAATGGTACCAGACTGATAGTGTAGAAAACAGCATACACAGCTGGTTTCTGAACGTGAAGCTGATGTGGGTGGTTATTTTGTCTTATGGCCCCAGAAAAACTGTAAGTCTTGTTTTTCAGTCTTTATTCAGGTACAGTTCCCATTGCAGTCAGCTGGAGTTTTGGTTGAGTGAGTGGAGTAAAATGCACTAAGGACTTTAGGACTTCACACCAGATTTCCCTAATGATGTGTTGGGAGTGGAGGAGAAAGAACCTCTTTGTTTTGTTTTGTTTTGTTTTGTTTTGCTTTGGTTTATTTTTGCTCCCCTGCATAAATTCTGCAAAGGGAAAATCTGTTGTAAATGAAAGATTATGGAGAAACCTAATCAGCATTTTTTGGATGGAGGAGCTGCTTTCTAAGGGACAGTACTTGCTTTGCATTCTATAGTGGTAAACCTTGTAGTCTGTTACGATATACTTCAGAGATTTCCTTTTTCCTTCCCATTTCAGCCTTGATTTCATCTATGATCTATTTGAACACGTTTCAAGTCGCAACAATCAAGACACTCTTAAATGTGGAAGCAAGCACCGAAAACCTACTGTCAGTCTCCAGTTCAAGGTTAGTTAATATGTCATCTCTGCTCTGTAGCTAATCAGTGATAGATAAACCCTGTGTTCCGTAAGCAACAGCCGCAGATTAAAGCAGGCAAAACTTCAGCATCAAAACACTGCTGTCTCTTCTTTGAAACTGAGTAACTAATCAACTGATTGGCCAAACTAGTTTGCTTCAAGCAGAAACTAACCTTCACGTCCCACCATCCTCACAAAACTCTCGTTGCTTTGCATTTGCTTACTTGTTCTTGTTTTAAAGCTCATCTATGAAGTTGGTCTCTCTGGTCTAGGTTTTCCTTTCTAATCTAAAATCATCCATGAAACGGCCTTACAGCAACGCTGTATGCTGAGGAAAAATAAATACTGAATAAATACCTCATTAAGGTGTTGTCTTGCTTTTCAACTTGAAGTTGGAAAGCATTTTTATTAAACACCTTTTTATGAGGCTTTATAAGCCCTGCCTTCAAAAATGGCATCAAATTGAAATCTAACATAAAGTCTATCTGCAAATTATTTAAAAGAGAAAGATTGGCACAAAAACTTCTCTAAATTGCATGAGTACAAGTCTGGATTAGTTGTCTTTCATTTTGTTTGACTTAATATGCATTTGCACTGTTAATTCACGGTTTTTTTTAAAAAGGGAGCAGGCTCCAGCTCCTTGAGGGCAGATTTTATCCTAATAGACTATTGCTGACTGTTGGACAAAACAACAAGAAATAAATGCTGGGGCACACACGGTGTCTGTTGTTAAGGAACACTGATGTTATATTCCCTGGACAGCTTGCTTTGGGCTACCATTGCTCGTCTCAAGCAAGACCCACACCTTGCAATGAGGTGGTGGTGTTTGCTAGCTGTCTGGGGTAGCAGAAGGTTCTCTTTCCACTTGGTCTTTGTACCTGTGCAAAGTAGCCCTTTACGATGTTACCCTCTTAAAAACTGGCGGTATTTTTCCCCTCGCTTTGCGAGGTAGAACACAATGTAGGGTTCCTCTCCTCTCCATCAGGGCCCCTGGCTAACATAAAGTGTGATAAAACATGAAATAAAAAACCCCGTTGCCTCTTATCTAAAGCTGCAGTAACTGACCGTTAACCAGCTGAGCTGCTGTACAAGAGGTTGACCTTCACATCGTCCTGTTCCCAAGGAATTAGGCTGGGTCTTTTTTCCATCTTTTAGAGCTTTCCAGGGATTAGTCCATCTCATTCCAACTGAAGAGAAGAGCTCTGCCTTCACAGTTTTATTGACCTGCTAGGTTGCTTAACTCTTCATTTGACTGCCTGCCTAGTGCGGGCCTGGGGGTGCATGCAGAATCGCCAACGTTCTTTACCATCTGCTTCAGCCCATTGCTTAAAGCAGGGCAAACTTCAGATTAGCTTGTCACCTGACAGTGATTTAGAGGCGTCCAGCACCCTGCAGAATCTGGCTGTCTGTACCACAGATGGATGTGAAAACAGATTAAAGAGTTTTTGTTTAGACTGACCATCTTTTCCAATCTGTGTAAGTAGCAGCCTGTGTTGCTAAAAGTCTGAGAGTCTCCTTGGTTGTCTGTGGATGTTGTAACGTTCACACGGGTTTAACACAGATGAAGCCTTTACTTTCTGAAACTGTAAATATTTGTCTTTACACAAAAATATTTGTCTTTTATCTTCTGGCTGTTTAATGTTTGCTGCCCCCGACTCCTTGCTGGCAAAGGCAAACGCACCAAGGACTATCATTTATGTTTGCAGTCACTTCACCGTTTGCTCCCTTTGCTCTGTTCCAGCTCCTGCGCACAGCTGCAACCCTGCCTCCTGCCTTTATCAGTTCATGTTTAATCACCAAGAAAGCCCTTCGTTTGCAGATTAAAGCAAGAATTTGTTGTAACGGGCTGCCATTGGCAATTTCACTCCAGAACATATGGTGGGACGCAGTGTTGCTCCTGTTAAAAAGGGAATTTTCTGTCTTCTTGGCAGCCTGCTCTGTATTCTCCCCGCTGCCTGGCACCCAGTGCCACCTTTTAGGGGTGAAACGTTATCACTGCTAGTTTTCTGGGCTCTTCAACCATTGGTATCTCCCAAAGTAAATGCAAGACTTCAGCTTAAAATGGGTTATCATACTTAATGATACAGAAGGAGGCAAGTTGGAATAAGAAATGGAATGATGGCTCGGGAGGGAAAGGAGCGGATGTGTAATTAAAGTAATAATCATGAAAGGACTGAGGGATTTTTTTGATTTTTATCTCCAGGCTGAGGTTCAGACAACTGATAGTTTGAGGTGTACCGGGTCATTCAGAGTTCTAAAACTAGGAAAACCCCTATATTTTCTTACTGAACCTTATAATCTCTCTTTTTATTGTTAAATGGAATTAGTTCTCACATGAAATAACTGAAACTGTCTGCTTAATCCTGTTAGCATTGTCGTTCAGTAAGATGTGTTTTACTCAATTTTTGTTAATTTTGAGAGGGGAGTGTTTTAAAATTCAGTGGCTGCTGGATGATAAATTAACTCTTTATTAATAAATTTTTATCATTTTTTCTACCCTCTTGTTGATGTACATTTATTTCCAGGGTAAGAAAAGTTCGAGAGCACACAGGAGAGAACAAATCCCTGTGCACAAAATGCTGCTGGTGGCAGGGAGAAAGGAGAAGGAGTGGGAATGGGGTGGTTGAGTGAAAAGAGGAGATCTAGATTTGTGGTTACTTCAGTTTTACTTCAAACCCGTTATCCTTCCTGGTAACTTGTTGCAATTTGGGAATGTGGATCCTAAATCTTAAGCAATCACTGAAAAGATCCCTGAAACAGCGGCTTCCCAGTTTGCTGTTTCCATATGAACAGTTTTCTTCATGTTGTCCTGTATATCCCGTTTATGTCTTGTTGGCTGTAAAACGGTCCCGATAGTCTGGATAAGAAGGGGCGGGTGGAAGCAGCATGTACTGATTCTGTAAGTTCACTGCATGGGGAGAGCTGACACCAGTGGGGTAATTCCTCCTGTGAGCCACTGGGTGCTGCAGCTGAATGCTGTCTGCAGCGCGAAGCTGCAAGAGCTTTTGCCGGGCTGCTTTGCTTGCACAAAAAGTCAGCTTGTGAAGTGTTGGTCTTCTTTCTACCTGTGTTTTAGGAATCGCTTCATTCTTTGATGGCGACGCTGAGTTCTTCAAATCCTTTCTTCGTTCGGTGCATCAAACCCAACGTGCAGAAGGTAAGTTTTAAAATCACGCCTGTCTCTTCTGTGCGTCTCGGGCGTAATCTTTCACTGTCCGTCTGATTATTTGCTGCTGGGTGAAGCAGGGGGTAACATTCTTCACTGGCTTTGTAAAAGGCTCTGCACGAGGAAGAGGCTGGGGGAAAGGCTTTTGATTTTTTTTGCAGGCGGGCCGTGTCTGTGGGCACCCTTTCAGTAGGCGTTGCTCACAATGCTGATAAATGCCTGACTCTAAGGATGGTTATAAAAGGAAGGTAGAAGGCTGCGCCGCACGTTTGATATCTCCATGACAGCTTTTTTAGGAAGAAAATGTCAAAACTACAAGATTTGTTTTAAATCGCAATAGGAAGTGACTGGTGGTGCAATGACCAACTCTGTCATCAGGCTCCTGGTCTTTCAGTTTCCTTACAATACGAGGTATCTTCAGGGTGGCTGTTTTGTTCTGTTGCAGACTTATGTTTTTAAAACAGACCTGGAGTCTAGGGGTTGATGTATAGATTTTTCTTTGGAGAATGGTGAAAAGCAGTATCAAGACTTACTTAGATATGTTGGATGGCTCTGCAGAAATGAAGAAGTAATGATATAGAATCATAGAATGGTTTGGGTTGGAAGGGACCTTAAAGATCATCTAGTTCCAACCCCCCTGCCATGGGCAGGGACACCTTCCACTAGACCAAGTTGCTCAAAGCCTCATCCAGCCTGGCCTTGAACACTTGCAGGGATGGGGCATCCACAGCTTCTCTGGGCAACCTGTGCCAGTGCCTCACCACCCTCTCCATGAAGAATATATAGTAATTACTGAAGTTAATATTGTTAGCCTGGTCCTGATGTTGCACATCTGTTTCTGACTTTATAGATCATTCTTCAGTCTGGTTTGCTTAGGTCAAAAAATGCAAGAGGCAGGGTTGCTAACAAATCTGGTTTATAGTTTTCACATTGCAACTGAGTAATAGGTGACTTTGCTAAAAGGCCAGTTTTACATGTTACATTTCTCTGGGATGTCTGGTTAATCAGGATGCTAAAACATCAAAAAAGGCAGACTGTATTGCAGGTTTTTTATCTGGGTGGTACATCCTTGACTTTACACGTTTTCAGTTGCTGTTTTTAACTCTGCTTTTGCACTGTTGCTCACGGTGTGTCGAATAACACGGATTGTGGGAAGCGTGGCAGGAGGGAACAGCCAGGTAGCGAATGTAAGCTGCTTTCTGCATCCTGCAGTGTTTGGTGCTCTGAGGTGGGCAGCCACCAGGTAGCTAAACCCTACCTGTACGATGGTACCTTGGCCGGCAGCTGGGGTCCGTGAGTGTACGTGTGTGGAAAGCTTGTTTTCTTTCCTGCTCCTGTTCCTGCCTGGGAGCCCCGTGACCCTTGTACAGCCCATCTGCTGCCAGTGGAGTCTTAAGAGTTTCCATAACTCACACATTTTCCTTATTTGTCCTTTTGCATCTGAGTAAGGCTCATCTCCACAGTACCAAAGTCACAGGGATTTGCCACAGTTGATGCAAGAACCAGGTGCTTGTTGCATTTCCATAGCAAGGAAACCACTGAGTTCCCACTCCCATGTTCCCAGTTGCTCTACCAGTCTTTTTCCCACTAGAACGCTTCATCCCTGGCAACTTTGGCATATGCTGCTGTATCTGCACATACATTTTACTGTCATTAAAACAAAGTTCTCACAGAATTAGCAGCTGTGCAAGCAGAAAGAGCTTGAGACAGGCCCAGTCTCAGGAAACCACGTCTAATGGCAGGAGTGAGTGTATGCAGGAACAGATAGGGAAATTCCTGTAGACAATCCTTTCAGAGGACATAGAAAATGCCACTGAAATCTTACACAAAAAAAGTTTGTCCTTTGTTTTCCATTTGCGTTAATTTGATTGCAAATTTAACTTGATTCAGTGGCTGTACCAAATAAAAAATCCTATTTGAAGAGCAAGAGTGGAGAAAAGAGTCAGTTTACCTGTTGTAGCTGACTCAGTAGAGGACTTGATGGAAAATGAGAAGGGAAGCCATCTGTAATACTTGTCAGTGGCGTTCTTCACTCACGGAGGTGTTCTCAAAATGCATTTTTGGGATTCACTGTTCTAAGGTTTGCCTGCCGTGCCCTGCTCTCTGTTCCCCCGTGTCTCAGACAGTGATTTTTAGCACCAGTCTTGTGACACCGATGTTGCTCCTTCTGCAGTGGTGCATGTACAGAAGCAGCTACATGAACAGCTCTGTAGCTCAGCTGGATTCTGTGGATGCACATCACGTTAAACATTCCATAGCTCATATACAACTTGCTGCTTCTTTTCAGTTAGACAAAGGGAAATAAAGTGGGTCCGTTTGCATAGCTCTCGACGCCTGAGAGACACGTTAGCTGTGCATGGACTGCCAGGGATTACCGCCTGCGTGACTCACTATGCAGGGCTGCTGAGAAACATAACTGCTGGAAACATTCAGACGAGCCGCTGAAATGGAGAAACGGGGATTGAAAGGAAGTGAGAACCTTCACTGAGCATCTTGTGTGTTTTCCGTCCACAGTTTTCCCTCTGCAGTGATGGTGATATGGAAGGATAAAATGTCACTCTTCAAAAAGTACTTGAACAGTGCTTGCTGAATAACATAATATGAAAGAAAGGGGTGTTTTAATAGCGTTTTTTGAAATATGTAGCATTAAAGGAGGGCTGGACCAGAGAGAGTCGGCAGGGAGAGAGCAGAAGTTATCAGGAGTTATCAGTGTTATCAGGAGCAAAGCCTCTCAAGCTGCTCGTTGCTTTCTGGGTTGGGTATAAATAGGTGATGCACCTTCGGCGAGCACCCACTGTAATTCTGGAGGGGAGGAGGTGTTGGTGCTCAAGAGCTGTTTTACCCTGGAAATGTGTTTGAATTCTGTAGGTGAATGAGGTTGCGCAGATGGAAGACAAATTCAAGCCTTTGAAAAGCAGAACGTGCAGCAGACAGTGCTTCCTCTGCTCTTCTAGACATTAAAGTGTATTCACGCTGAATAACAGATCTGATAATTTACAGTAATTATTTGATTTTTTAAAAATTGATCTAAAGTTTGATTCATATATCTGTTAAGGGTGGCAAGCAAAAACAGTGCAGCATCCGCAGCAAACCACTGAACATTTACATATCAAAGCAGGATCTACACTCATTACAGCAGTTTCCTAAAGGGAGCACGGAGAGTACGTGACCTTTTGTCACAAGACATTTTAGCGAGCAGGCCTCAGACAGAAGAACAGAGGACCCATTAATCTCTGGGAGACCCCTGAACAATCGGTCTATCTGTTTGCACAGTTTCCAGTCTGTTCTGAACTAGCCATAACGTGGAAGCTCTTCCATTTGGTATGCTTAATGAGTATTTCCTGCTAATGAAGGGTCTTTCTCCTCAACTCCACTTCAGTGCAGCTTGCAGAACTACATATCATTTCATCCTTTTGAACTTTGGCACATCTTTCTCTGTTTCTTGGTTTCATTGTCCTTTACCTGCCTCCTGTTCTATTCAATAATGATTCCTCCCAGCAACCTTGCCTTTTCTGGTCTCCAGCTATCCTTTTTTGTGCACCTTAAATTAAAAACAAATAAACAAACACCACCACTACCTACCCATGCACACACACACAAAAAAACACCCCAACCAACCAAAAAAACCCCAAAACCAAACCCAAAAAATACTGTCTTTATAAAAAGAAACTACAGCCATTGCTACAGCCATCAGCTGAATGTCTCTTCCAGCTTGATGCTATCAATAAAGCTGCTAAGCCTTGGTGCCACTCAGGAGAAAATTCAGGGTAAATTTAATATCTGGACTGTGCAAGCTGTTTCAGAGGCAGAAATCTTCCTGTTGGCTACAATGAGCCAGCCTCAGGCAGAGCGGCTCAAGTGCCTTCTCAAGTTCCCTTCTCCACTTAAGATTTTTATTCAAAAAATAAATTGGTATAAGCAATGCGAGTGGCCCCTGATCTCCAACGTCTGCATTGTCTCATGTGCGCTGGTCTCTTAAAACCTCGATTATTACAGCTTCTGTCTGTAACTCTCTGTTCCTGAGACTTCAACAGGTTCAGATGGGGCTGTTCTCTCATGCACGTGGACAGGTGCATCCACTTCTGTTGGGTTACAGATCTGAGTCTAGTTTGGTGCTGATAGGCAAAATCCTGGCTTCATTAGAGTTGGCATGACATATTTGATGTAGACAAGAATGTCACTTTTTATTAAAGGAAGCCCATGTTGGTGTGTGCCACCTGAACAGGATTGCAGGGTCCCTACTCAGTGCCCTGTCTGTTCATTTACGGTCTGTCTCATCCCTCTGGTCTTGCCACTGGCAAGATAAAAGCCGCCTTCTCTGAAGCTTGTGAGCTCTGAAGGGGCAATTCTGTGTCTCTGCAGGTTTTTTTGGTATTAATTTTTTTCACCTTAAAGTTTAATTAGGTAAGGTAAAGAAATGAGAGAAAATTAAACCTGTATTGTAAACCTACTGCAGGGGAGGGGTTACAGGGAGCAACAGAAAAAGTGAAACTTGTAATAACTTTGCAATTCAAAAGAAGTTTGGTAGAAAAAGGTCTGTAATAAATTCTGCAAGGCTCACTGCTGCTTAGGAGTCCTATCATGCTCCATATTCATTATGGGAAAATTACTATCAAGGCACTAAAGGTTGCTAACATAGCTTTTGGGGACAGAGCCATTTAAAAGGATCAAGGTATGGCTATTGGCACCTGCAGTGTACTTTGAGACATGTGTCATTAATAGCCATGAGACTCCCTGGAGTATGTCCCCATACTTAATATGAAATAAGATGCAGACCTATTTCACTTGGCGTCTGAATTAAAGCTGTGCTCTTAAAGTAGCTCTGAATCATTACAAAGGTAAGTGTAGCATGATACCAACCTAACCACTGGTTAGAAGTACAGCTCAGGAACGCAGTACAAAGGAACAATGAGGGAACAGCTTGGCCCCATCTGCGAGGATGATTGTGTCAGGGTGTGGAGCAGGCACAAGTTCAGTGATTGCAGCGTGTG